CATCGTTTGTCGAGCTGCAAGGCTTCGATCGTCTCCACATAATTGAAAACCTTTGCGCAGATTTTCGTTTGCTTGCTTGAATCCTCTTGGGTGCACCTGTAGGTTATTCTAAATTATTCCTTGGAAAATTGACCACAGTCATCAAGAGTGAACTTTTACCATTGGTGCTATGACAATGACAGGTGCCACTTCCGTTGCACGAAGACAAGAAAATGATTGATCTACTGATTTAATATGTCAGCTTTCCCATGTCTTGACCATCCATGTAATTTGAATGATCTTACCGGAACAGAACTTCTTCGGTTTTTGCTAGACGGAATAGAGAGCGTATTTTAAGTCAAAGTAAACAAATCAACCAGACCACCTGTTTTCTACTGAACGATTGCCAACGGCGTCAAGCACCGGAGGTATTTCAGTTAATTCATGTAAAACTTGTATCGACAGAACGTCAGCCGGTGGCGATGCCCGCGGATCACACGGAGTGGTAAAAAAGACCGAAAAGTAACGCGAGCTTCCAGTGACGTAAACAACAATCCAAACATGGAAAGATGTTGCATAAATGTTTCAGTCAGCTGTCATCTGCTTGTCTCAGCTAATAAACTTTTGGTTAAAGTAGCATTCAGTCGTTTGGAGAACGCCTCGCTTCTATTCCATAATCTCTCCGCTCCACATGCATACTGTAGCATTTATTGTTGGACTTCCTGTTGTTGTTTCGTCATCATCAGCTAAGGCTAACAGAGCTTAAAGAGTAAAATATTCTAAATTTGCGATCTCGACCATTTAAGATGATACTTCAAATTGATTATCAAGCGATGTTCACTGCTGCGACAAAGGTAATATTCCTCATCGCGCCGGAACTACCACAACTAAGCGTTTCCACGTTTTGTAGAGTCTTCCAATGAGTCTGTGACCAGGACTATGTTTCCAAGCAGGAAAGGTCTTCAAAATAATTTCATTCTCTTTTAGTCACTTTTATTAAACCAAACAGGACTGATAGTTAAACTGATAGTTTTTTCAGGCCAGTTATGGTCAGACGCTTCTCGTTGGTAATCTGATGGCATTATCACACTTGGAAAATATTGAACAGTTACATACACGAATTTCCTGTCGCGTTATTACCAACACGACTGTTTGTATAATGATTTTATCCATTATTATAGTTCGATCCCTCCATATTTCATAAAACCTGTCGAAATTCGTTGATGCCAGTCCAATGCACTGATTCAATTCAACATTAATATCGCCCCCATTAGCCAA